ATTTATATATATACCAACATATATTCATTATATCTGGCAAAATGAAAAAATGACAACACTTTTGGATATAAATGAAAAAATATGGATATTGTATATAATTCTTAAAATTATTCTAAAGGTTTAAAAATGAGCATCATGAGGAGAGCAATTTATAAAATCACATTATTTTTAATACTTATATTTGAAAATAAGGAACTATGTAACACTCATAAAATTGTAAACTGTATTTTCTACCTTCATCATTTACTCTCTAACTGACAGTAATTAGGAAAACATAAGTTAGAGCTGATGCAAGTACAGAATAGCTGTGATTGAACAATCAAATTGATGACAGGAAGCAGGGAGAAACTGAATAAAATGAAATCAGGAAGAAGGACCTCTGGTCAGAATTCCAAAATGCTGATTTCTCCCACCATCAGTAAACAGATAACTTCTTTCCTGCATCCTGGAGAGGTATCATTTTCCAGTTTATTTTCCATATTCCCTGTAGCTAGATTCTGCTAAAGATTTATGTAAAGATGCAAAGTGAAGGAATTAAACCTAAGAATCTCACCAAATCTTTATCATACATTCTATTCTCCCTTCAGCCTTCTTTACTGTCCACACCATGCATTTTCAGATTTTTTTTTTAATATACACTTTCACTCATTTAATCTGTTGTCATCAATCATAGCTCCTATGGATGTATATCTTTTCCATGAGGTCTAAATGATTAGTTTAGCTCCCCTACATAACTTATACACTTATAGATTTTTACACATTGATATCCCAGTCCTATGAACTCCAATGCTTTTTTATTACAACTTTACAAATCAGAAATCCAATGAAATGTTCTCCATATCTTCCACAAATTTAAGACAAATAGGAGAGAGGACTTGTGGAAGCCTGACGGTAGCATTGGAAAAAAAACAATGAAGCACAGAAGAACTGGAAGCTAAGAGTACTTACCTGATTACATACAGGCTTGTACTTGAGGCCTGGTTTGTTCAGGATCATCTCCAGCTGCCTGCGATTAAAGTTGGACACCCCAATGGACTTGGCCAATCCTGCATCTTTACACTTCTCCATGGCCTTGAGGAAAATATTGTGAAAAATAATTTGTGGCAGTGATCATATATTCATGTATGATATATAGCCAAATAATAGTGTTAAAAGGAACATTTCCAAGAAATGAAAATAAATGTGACTAGAAATGGTACTAAGAAAATAATAGAGGAAAATAATATATTTTGTATTTTCCTCAAGAAATCAGAGATACTATATATGAAGGGAAAAAGATGGTTGTTTTTGCTTTTTCCAAATCATCTCTAGCCATCTTATATTGCAGTAATACATTTCTGCCCACCATAAGAGCAGAACACCCTTTGTATGCATTATGAATTTCTTAATTCATTAGTGCCTAGCACATTTTTGGAGGTTGGTTGTGACCTGTTCTCAGTCTCTGCTCCTTAATCCTTCTCTCACCAGCACTTTTCCTTTCCTTTTTTACTACCCCATTTCTTCTTTTCCTTTCTGCTCTCTATTCCAGGCACTCACCTCCCAAGTAGCACACAGATTCACTGTGTCAGTTATTAGTTTTCCATGTTCATCAGTTGGAAGAATCTCTTCTCCTGGCTAGAAGAGAAGCAGTCATTAAATCCATTTCATGATATCCATATCTGCATCCATATCTAAAATCCTAGTGTTGTGACACTACTTTTCTATAAAGTAAATGGAGGGGCTGGAGAGATGGCTCAGTGGTCTAAGGCACCTACTTAGAACAAGCTTGGCAAAGCAACAGGGGCTGCGGTTCAATCCCCCAGCACCACATGCCAGCCAGTCCCGCCCCCTGGTGGGCTGAGCTGGCCACACACACACACCACACAC